TCCGTGGGATTCGAACTCTAGACCTGCCACTTGGAGAGGGTGATGACTAGACCACTACACTAAGTCGCCACACCTCTCTTTATTAAAGTATTATTTGTGTGAAAAAATCTTTACGATTATATTTTTTTATTATTATTTTTTTTTTGAAAATTGATGGTCATGTCACATGCCCTGCTTTATTCATGTCATTTTATTAATTCAAAAATTAGTGAGTTACACTATGCCTTATAGCAACAAACTGGAATGTGGCTTACCCGGTTACTTTGCGTACCTAAATACTAACTTAGCACCTATGTGCGACCTGCCAATGATGAGTTCAAGCTTCCTGGTTTGGGTCAATCTGCTGTAGAAAGGCCCACCCCAAATCACTGCCCTGGTTCATCAGCTTGTCATGACCACCTTCTTTCCTAACTTTCTTCTCCTAGCCTCCTAGATAGAAGAACTCTACTGCAAGAACAACGAGAGATTTATGAAATTAAAGGAAAACTACAAAAAGGGGAAAATCTAAACTAAAATTATACACCAAAAAAAAAAAAAAAAAAAAAGAAAAAAAGGCTGCAAAGAAAACGGCCATGATGACACTATTTTTGCCTGTGCCAGGCTACATAAATTATATAGGTTGTATAGAAATCAAAATTCTATTCCAACACTATATATAATAAGAAGAGTGGAAAGAAAAAAAATTGCCTAACGTCTAGAAATTTCTATACGTGTTCCTCCGATCCCTTATAGACTGTCATTGCCTAATCGAGAAGCAGTACCTGAGTCGGCTCGTAGCAGGTTCCATTTCGGTAAATGCGTCCTAATTTGGAAGCAGTAAACACTGCCGATCTTTTGGAGGGGGTATGCCAGTTTTCCTACTTTTTGGCCAAAATTTCTAAAAAAATTCCAAAGTAGTGAGAATATGATAGAAGGTTTTTGGTTGCAAGTACTTTTAAAATTTCTAAAGAGTGTGTTGAAATCTAGAACTTTTGTTGTTTCTCCTGTGTTCTTCTTTGAAGTAACAGCCTTAGAGCTTTGTCGACGAAGTTGGGTTTTCTTATACTCCACCAAGATTTTTTATACAAGGGCACCACCTGCTAGTTATCTTGTATAATAACGCTCTTGGCTTGCATGCCGAACGTCCCTTTAGAGGAGTCTCTTAGAAAAGCAGTTGACCTCTAGACAAACCACACTGTAAAGCCACATCTCTTCAACAAAAGTTGTGTTTTTTGTTAGTTAAAATTTTGGTACAAGTGATCATCGGGGAGAGTTATCTTTACAATTATATTAAATTTTATCAGCAAATTAATTTATTATTTATTTCGCTTATCTTAAATGTAGCTTAATTGATTAGAATATATTAGTATTAGCTAATTATTCAGAATTAATCGAAATATTGCGAAATTTTTAAATTAATTCGAAAAAATCATAAAGTTTACGAAGTATTAATGAAATAAAGGCAAATTAAATAAAATTTAGATAATATTATAAGCGAATGTCTATTTGAAATAAAATCTAATAGTTTAAATATTTTTGTTTTCTTATCTTTAAAATTTACTATACTTATTTAAAATATATTTTATTATTTTTAATATTTTCGAAATAGTTCGAATATTTTTAAATTAACTATTTTATTTTCACTTTATTGATAACAAGGCTAATAAAATGACTATTTTTTCCAATTAACTTTATTTTATTTGAAAATTTTTAAAATATTTCGAATTATTGTGCATTATTTTCATTCTTAATATTAGTAATTCATTTCGAAATTTTTCGAAATTACTAAATAATATTAAGTAATTTGTATATTTCTAATATTTCGAAATTATTTTTTTATATTTAGTTTTCTTGAATAAGACCCTGGGTACTTTATTCTGTAAATTAATTTGATTTTCTTACGATTATTGCATTTTTTCGAAATATTTTGCCTTTTTTATTTTTTAATGGCCTAATTTTAAATATTTTTAACTTTATTAATTAATTTTAATATAATTCAAACTATTTCAAATTATTTTGCTCTCATTGTTCATAGATATTTATCTCAATCCATTTCGAAATATTTTGAATTTTTTTTGTAATATTGCGTAATTTCTTGCGTAATATTGCGTAATAATTTTACGTAATATTTCATGTATTTCGCAATATTGCAAATGTTATTATGTAATATTACAGTGTTCTTATGCTTCATAAATTATTGCGCAATATTATACCTTATTAAATTTGCTGATATAACTATAACCCATGGTGATCATCACCGGGGTGTCTATATCTCAAAAACGTACTAAGTAAACAGGATCAGATTCTCTAAGTAAAAATATTTAGAACCCCAAAAACCTCACAAAAACTGAGATCGGGCCCTATTGGGCCCTTATAGTAGCTCTATATTATATTATATAAAAAAAAAATAATTCTCTAATTTTTAACTCTAACCCTAAATATATCTAGGAGTGGTGATGATCACTACTAGTTATTTTGATTTTAATTCAATAAAAAAATACAAAAATTAAAATTCTAGCAAGTATATTTAGCTGCTAGATAACAATATTTTTGAAAGGTTTTGTCAGTTTTCTTTATGTAGTTTTCATATTTGTTTATTTATAATAAGTAGATTATATTTGATTCATATGTTGTCTGGTTTGTTTTTAAAAATTGTAGATTTTTCATTCTTTAAAAATAATTTTCTTTTATAAATGTTAGTTGGAAAACATGCTATTTTGCTATAAAGAGTTTATACTGTATATGGGTTTAAATTATTAATTTCAGAATTTTAGTCAACAACACTTGCACCAAACACATTGTAGTTGTTGTCATCATTATATATGAAATTGAGATTTTTGTTAGTATCTTCATTTGTATTGTTTTAAAATGTTTTTTAAGTATCAGATTGTTCAGTTGTCATAGCAAGGCAGCTATTGAAGTGTGAACTGCAGCCAAAATAAAACCTAACTGCAAAATAATAGAGGTTAGATATATATATAAAAAAATTCATAGAAATTTTTGTAACTCAATTGTGTAAAATACTACAAAGTATAAGCAGCCAATAATAAAGCAGGCTGACTACATGTAATATTGTCTATTGAAGCTTGTACAGTTCATTTTAGTTAACAATATCAAAAAATTTAGGCAATGTTTAGCTTAAATTTTGATAAATTTTGATTTAAATTTTAAAAGTTCATTCTTTTGTTTTGTTAAAATACAATATATTTAAATTTTACTGATTGTTTTGAAGAATGTTATTATAAGAACACAAGTTTGTAATTTAATTTATTGCAATTCTGACCAAATATAAAAATCAAATCGCACTAAGTTATGTCTCTATCCCGGCATCAATATCCAATACAAGCTAGTTATGTACTGCATATTTAGAAGTTAAATAAGTTAAATTTGTATAAAAATAAAATATGCAAATTTGAATCTACTGTACAGCCTGCATAGGCCCACATTATGGAAGTTTACTGCTAATGCAGGCCAGAATTGTGAAATTCTAAATTATTCCGAAATTTCGAAATATTCCACCTGCGCGGTATCCCATTCCTACGTAACACAAACTATAACATAGATATAGATTTTCTAGAATTTAGAAAATTTGAGTTGATACTTGAAATTTTAGATTTTTTTGTAAAAATTTATATCTAAAATTTAAAAAGTCGATTCGATTATATCAATATTCAAAATACGTAGATTAATCTACGATTACTGATAACATTAAATTAGTAAGTTAAGCTTACCTTTCCGATCAATTAACAAATTTAACAAATCGACTAGTCGATTAGTATTCTTATCATTATCTTATCGTTAATAACATTAATTTTAATTATACATCATCTATCATGATCACAGAATTTAATTATTTTTGTGTACGTACGTACGTACGCGACCTTATTTGTAACTTAAATAAAATTGTATAACGTATTAATTATTAATAAAAATTCTTATCCTATAACAAAAGTTACAAAATGCGTTCTAATCAATGTTAACACTAATATTTTAATTCAAATTTATATGAATTTCAACTAATGATTAAATGATTATTATCACTACAAGATTAATTACATCTGATCTATTTAAAAATGGCCTCTCAAATTACATCATTCAGATATATAATTAGGTCATTCACCAAACCCTACAAAGTACTTCTCCCCCCACACGCGAATCTAACGCATCTTTAATTTCTAATACACCCTTAATAGTACTAACAATTGCAATCTCACCAGGTTCCAAAGCTGGCACAAATTTTGCCCTTTTCCCACTAGCTAAATCCATCAATTCTTGTACATTCATATATATTCTCTTCGATCCTTTGCTAACACATTTCATATATTTAAGTACTGGTTCGTTATCCCTGTATTTCAAGTCAAGCCAAAGTCTGCGCGTTGCTATGTTTGTTGGTAGTGTGGGTGTAAATACTTCATCGGGTTTAATCTGATTCCCTCGTTGTACTGAAGATATGAAACCTTGTTCGTAAAGAATTTTCACAATAGATAAATTCATTTTCGACTCTGGTACTGCTATAGAAGCAAGCTTGGCTCGAAAGCCGTTTTGAATTCGGGCGCATAAGTCATGTGGAACTGTCATTTGTTAACTGTAAAAAATTTTCGCTTTATCTGTGATTGATATTCTTATATCTTTATAAATCGGTTTAGCCAATAAGAACCTTATTTTTTATCTTGCCCAGATCTTAGAAAACACCTTTTTATTTTTCTATATATTTAAAGTAGGTGCATTCTTGATAAGGGTGTCCGAAATTGATTGCCAAAACCTGTATTATAAATTCTACCCCTAAACCTTAATTCTAACCCTAAAAAATGCACCCCAAAAATTTGTATTTTTCGGTATTTTGGCTATATATTATATAATTATCGTAAATGACTTGTCATTTGCCATATATGATGCGGTATAAATGATTTTAATGTTTTGCGATTGTCATGTATAGGTTAGATTTTATTAGATCTACCGCTACAATCAGACTCCTTGTAATTCCAAAGAAATTTTCTATCCGTCATTTTTGTAAAACAACTTTCTTAACGATACTGAGGTAATTTTTTAAAAATCGATTAATCAATTAGTTGACCAATTGATTAATCATTAGTTGTTAATAAAATATCAAGACTAATTTAATCGATTTTCGATTTGGAACATTACTTGCAAGCGTACTTTCTCAAAAAATACAGATTTATAAGTTTATTATAAATTTAATTTTAAACAGACATCTAATCGCCTCTTGACAAAAAAAGTAAAAAGATAAAATGGATCCGGAGTTTGCTGCTAATCTTGTCACATGATTAACAGATGAACATACCGAAAATGTGATTATACGGCAGTGAGTATAGACATGTCACTACCCAAATTTTATGACAGCTACCTTAGGCATTTCAAATGCCTGCACCTATCTATACTCCGGACAATAATAATAAAAATTTTATTTCTTTCGTGTATAACATGCATAACAATATATCGGGATTAAATATGATAAATCCCACCCAAAATAGAATCAAAAGTTTTATCCTACTCCATAGTGCTTTTCAACATAAGTCATCCAATGAACAATGACTTTTCGCACTTCTTCCCAACCTTCGTTACCTGATTTTACTTGGAACCATTCTCGATGAATGTTCCCACATCCAGAACATTTCCCCATGTCCACTTTAAACTTCTCACTTAACTCTATATGAATAAGGCGTTCAGCTCGATGTGTATATTTACATTTTGGAATACGTGCTAATTGTTCCAACCGTTCATCGCTAAATGAGCTATTATTGCCTTCATTTTCTTCATACAACAATGATTCCAAAAATGACTCTTGGGAATTGAACGAACTCATTTGTTTGACATTTGGGAAAAGTTCGATCAATTCAGGCATAAAGCCACAATGGTGTGACCACTGATATAAACGTCGGTGGACGTTGGTGGCCCTACCAACTTTGTATAACGTGAAATTAGGGTCATGTTGTGTTGAAAGGCCTTGAAGATTAAAAATTAGATTTAATATAATAACTCATAAATCTTAATAGTGTAAAAAGCATGTATATAAATGATATTATTACCTTCTACCAACCTATACGCATATATGAAGCCAGCCTCGTCCTTATCGGAGATTGGTTTCTCCATTTCTAACTTCAGCTGTCGCTTAGTTTCTTCAGATAGACTATGATTGATCCAATCTAAACAAAAAAATAAATTTTTTGTTTAATGAATTCCTACCTTCTTATAATAATAATAATAATAATAATAATACATATATGTAGAAATATACCATCAAATTTTACCCAAACAAGTTTAGAACGTCCGGGAACAAATAGGATCCTTTCACACTCATCAGTTTGTACTATAATTTCCTCTTTGTCCTTCTTGGTTTTTCGGCCAGAGCCTTTCTCAGCCTTTCGATTTTTTCTCGAAAGATCTTTCTTAGAGGCTGTAAAATCCTTTGTCAAGTCAATATATAGCTGTTTTGTTGGCGTTACAGGCCGTTTTATCACTGGTGGCAATTCAGTACGCGTTGATAATGTTGGTGATGATGATAGCCACGGAGCTGTCGGTAATTCATTATTTGGAGAAATTACCGAAGGAGTCTGGAAGAACTCCTTATTGATAGTTTCTATAAAATTATCATCCGGAATGGCAGGGCTGGGATCTATCGGTTGACGAATTGGTGGAGGGGTTGTAGGCCGAGGAATTTTATTTAATTCTTTTCCCTCTTCAGAAGATATTGAAACATTCGTATCGGCATTAAGTTTATTAGGACTTTTCGATTGCGTTATATGTACTTTAACATTATTGTCAAGACTTATCATAACCACCGTGGTGGAAGAGTCCTTAGTTAATTCGCCATTCAACCTTTTTTGCACTTTATCGATGTTTTCCTTTTGACTACTTAACGACAGAGTAGATAACTTTGTAGATATTTCACCAAATCTTTTTTCACGTACTTTCAAAGTAGACAAATCAGTAACATTCTCGCTATCACTCCTTACATCATTGTCCGGTAGTTGATTTTTTCGCGTTGGAAAGGGTATACCGAACGGACTTCTGCCATTTATCTGAGTTCTATGTTGGAAACAATAATTTTCCGTAACAACAGGGCGTTTACACGGTAAGCCTGTTGATAATGAAATACCCTTACACAATAGCGTATTTGGAGTGCGACAAGGAGAACCTTGTATTTTTGACCCATGTAGGGTGATTGGTGTAATTTTACCAGAATTCGGTAAATTATTATTTGTTGAAGAGAGAGCTTTAGCGAGAAATTCTTCAATTGTCTGTTGTTTCGTCTTTTTCCCAATGTGAGAAGCGTAAGAAGCCATAGAGGTTAAAAGAGTGTATATCCGATATTGAAGGTTGAAATTGCGTTAGAAAATTGGAGTAGGTTTAAACATAAAGCTTTCGAAATTTCAGGATAAGATTGTTTTGATTTTCCGCCATTTACTGTATTTATTATTGTATTAGGAATTATTGTCACGTGATGTTTCGTCATTCGTGACTCGGAAATTTTTAAGGATAGTTCGTTTATTTTCAATACTGACATAATGTCAATAATACAGTAATACAAGTTAAAAACAATATTCTTTAACACGAAAAAAACTATCTAGCTTAATATTAAACAAATTACTGTATAAATGAGTCTTTAGCAAATCTCATACTACATTGAATATAATTATTTAGCAAGCTATAAAAGATAATAGATTCATCTATTACAATTAATTACAAGCAATTTTGTATGCAGTTAAATTATTGTCGCAGCTGATGCTGAAATTTGGGGTCTCTATTTAAATCTATAATACCTACTAAAATCCACATATACTTTT